CAATTACAAGCCTTGAAGCTTCTTCTTCTTCTTCTTCTTCTTCTTCTATGTTGCCTCACCAGAATAAAGAGAAACGTAAATGGTTCTATTATCCTTTTTCAAATTTTCTCTCTTGTTTTTATTCATTATTTTTAAGTACTGTTTGATTTATGTGAATTTGAATAAAATAATTATTTCTTAATTTCTTTCTTTATGGAATGATGAATCATTTACAACCGTTGTGAATGATAATTTTAAGAGTTGTTAAACAATTTGCATTTCGAAAAATGGATAAGTGTGTTTGGTTTGAGTTTTTTGAATTAAGTTTTTTGAAAACTGAGTGTTTTGGTTTTCGTATTCTTTTGTTTTTAGTGAATATTTTTAAAATTTTAAACATTTTTTTTTACTTTTTTAGATGCATCTTAGTTTGTATTTAAAAAGTAAAAAATTTGTGGAAAAATATTTTAAAAAATTAATAAATACATAAAAATACAAAAAATGTATTGAATTCTTGTATTTTTTTGCATTTTTAGTATTTAGTGAATTTTTAAAAGATTTTTTTTACAATTTTTTTACTTTGTATGTGTATTTTTGTTAAGTGTGTCTAAAAAGTAAAAAAATTACTTAAAATATTAAAAAAATTCAATAAAAATAAAAAAACACGGAAAATAAGAATGTAGAATTTTTTGAAAAGTATTTTCTGAAAAGTGAAAACAAGCACTTTTCAAAAAATGATATACAAGTTCACTTTTAAAAATCTGTTTTCTAAACCTAATGATATGTAAGTGATATAATTAGTTGATAATTATAGAAAATATAAGAGAGAGTGTTACTTTTAATATTTTAATTGATTATTACATCATTAGCCTTAAAAAGTAGGTCTAATTTTTTGTCTTGAATAACAAATGCTCTTATTTTTCATTGCATCCTCTTTTTCTTACTTAAATTTATATAAATCTTTAATACAATCACAACTCTGGAATTTTATTTTTTCATGAATGTTTATATGTTTGAAAAAAAAAATAAAAAATAAAACTCAAGGTTTGAGTCTTGTAATAATATAAACCTTGAGTTTCTAATTTTATTAATTTAAATTCTAAATTTTTGAATTATTTTCAATTTAAACCATTTATCTATTTTCGTTAAGAAAAATAAATATTAAACTCAATGAAAATGTACTTTGGATAATGTATGCCTACATTAATGGTTAAAATATTCTTTTTCCGTCAATTTTTCTTAACAAAAATAGATGAATAATTTAAAATGAAAATAAATAAAAAGATTAGAATTTAAATTGACAAAATTAAAAACTCAAAATTTATTTTGTTACAAAGCTAAAGCCAGTGAGATAACTAGGATTTTAGTTTAGTGGTATCATTTAACAAGTATCGCCATTATCATTATGTCAACATAAACTCTACACAATTTATGTCAAAATCAGATTTTACACTATAATATTATATATTTCTAATCACATCACAAAAGTAGTTAAATTTGTTAAATTATCTATAAAACAAAAGAATAATGTTTAAGGGCCCGAAATTAGGGGCTCGAATTGGCTCAAAACCCAAAACGACGTCGTTTTGGGTTTTGAATTTTTTTTTTCTTCCTTTTCTTTTCTTCCTTTTCATCCTTCTTTTTCGTTGAGTTGAACAGAGGCGAGAGAGAGAACATAGAGGTGAGAGAGACGTCATCGCAGCTCGTCGACGTCCCAGCTCGTCGGCATCGCAGCCCCGCCTCCACCTCTGCCTCCACCCGCCGCCGCCTCCGCCTCCGCCTCCACCTCCGCCCGATTTTGTTGGCCCCTCCAGTCCAGTTCTCCTCCTCCTTCTTCTCCTCCTCCACCTCCTTCTTCTTCTCCCTAATTTCGAGCCAAATTCGAGCCCCTATATTCGGGCTTTGTATCAAAACCCAAAACAAAAATTGAGGCATTAATAGTTTAACAAAATCAAGCAAAGATCTACGCTTAGACAATCATCCGCAAGTTTTCATTTTTTGAAATCGGTATATAATGATGATGGAGAAATAAACACCATGAAGAATTCAAACTCCTCTCCTCTCTAGAGAACTTGAACCCACAATCTTACACCACAAAAATGGTACTATATAATCACCTGGCCAAATGTGTTGGTTACTCTAAGGCTAAGTTTGGGAAGTTGAAAATAATCAATTTTTTTATCTTTTTATCTTTTTTTCATCATATCACCTCTTTACTTTTCTGCAAATCTTTTCGTAAAAAGACAAAAAGTACATTTATTTAGGTAATCCCAAACAACCCCTAAATAAATTTAAAAAAAAAAAGAAGATCAGTTATTGGGTTTTTAATAAATTACAACAAAATAAAAGATCTTTTGATAATTTTTTTTGTGATAAGTGGCGTAGTCAGAAAATTAAATTAGAGGGAATACTTATTAATTACAATAATTTTAACAAAAATATTTCACGCAAGTTTTTACGATTGGTTTCAAGAAACATCAAAAAAAAAATAATAATAATAACAATCAGTGTGTTTGGTTTCAGTTTTCTGAATTCAGTTTTTTGAAAACTGAGTTTTTTTGTTTTTCGTATTTTTTTTAGTGAATATTTTTTGAATTTTAAGTAATTTTTTTACTTTTTTAGATGCACCTTACTTAAATGTATCTAAATAGTAAAATATTTTTAAAAATTAATAAATACACAAAAATACAAAAAAAAAATATAGTGAATTTTCATTTTTTTTGTTGTATTTTTTTTATTTAACGTATTTTTTAAATATTTTTTTCACAAATATTATATTTTTTTAAGTGTATTTATGTTAGGTGTCACTAAAAATTAAAAAAAAAAAATTACTTAAAATATTAAAAAAATTCATTCAAAACATTAAAATACAAAAAATATAAAAGTAAAATTTTCTGAAAATTGTTTTCTAAAAACTGGAAACAAACAAGCTGACTATTATTCGTAACTAGTGTATCATGAACAATACAAAAAAAAAATGGATATAAACCTTAAAATAAATTATATAATGATAAATTATTTTTTGATACAAAATTTGATTAAAAATTCAATATGATCGTAATACCACGTCATCATTGGTATTTGATATCACCCACTAATGGTAAATAAACACATAGAGAATGAATCTCACATGTCAAATATAACTAACAATTCAATAAATTTCATATCTTTATAATGAGATTACTTATACTTGCATATTACTAATAATGACATTGCCGTTACATTAAGAAATTTTCATAGCTAATACGGTTTATTTATAGTAGTCTCTTCATTTTCAATCAAAATAACCATTATTAGTCTCATAATTTTTAAAATGTCATTGACATTTCATTCTAATAATATTTTTATAATTTTTTATTTAAAATATTTTCTTTATGTTTGCAAAATAAAAAATAAAAAATTCTCAAAATCTAGCGGGGGCACGTGACCTCCCTGGTCCCATGCTCCCTCTGCCACTGTTTGTGATTAGTAGAATTAATGAGAATGACAAATATAGTTATTATTTTCACTACAATTCTTTATAAATTTTTTCCAAAAATTATATTTTAATGTATGCAATCATACATATATAATTTTAAACCTTAAAAACAAATTTTTAGAATGTATATATGATAAAATAAAATATGAATAACAATTCTCTTTTCTTTTAACTAATTTTACTGGTTAAATTTATAAAATCTCAAACATTTTGGGGAAAGTTGACATTTAATTCTCATTTGATAACTTTTATTTTTAGTCAAAAAATCAAAAAATCATTATAAATTATCATTTCACTCTTTTTACTTTTCTACATATTTTTTCATAAAAAAATCAAAAAATTAATAAAATAGCCTATTCCTAAACCAGGCTAGTCTAAGAAAAATTCGAAGTTGAGTACTATAGCTTTGCCCCTGACTAAAACTTTGGATTTTTTTTTTTTAATTGCCCTATATTTTTTGAATGCTCGCAAATACGTATTTAATATTTGCTAAATAGATACAATCAAATAGAGATAAATCTTTATAAGGTTAATTATATTTTTTGTCCTTGAAGTTAAGCCTCGGCAATGGGTCAGCCTGACTTAAAATTTAAGGCCCAGACCCATGGGCGTCATCCAATCAATGGGTTGGGTTCAAGCCGGCTCATGCCATATTTCTAAAACTTACGCTATACCCATGGACTTAAAAGCATGGGCTTATGGGCTTCAGACCTAACCTGGCCCACATGGGCCTAATATTACCTTTAATTTGGACTTTTTGTAAGGTCTCGTTTGGTAACTTAATATTTTAGGTTAAAAATCAAAAAGTTACTTAAAAAAATTAACAATCTATACAAAAAAGTCAGATTCATTTTTCTCTCTACTTTTTGCACATCTTTTCGTAAAAAATCAAAAATTCATTTCAAATATACAAAAAAAAATTTAACTCATATTTTAACCAAAAAATCAAAAAGCTTCTAAAATAGCATATTCCCAAATGAGACCTAAATTCACAAATAAATTAGAAAGCTTTTAAAAATTATAATACAAAATTTTGAAGTACATTACAATTATTAGAATTGAATATTGAATCATGAAAAATAAAAATAAAAAATTATTTTATTTCTCAAAATATATAATTACACTTATTATGATTATATTGTTAAATTGTGTGCATATTAAAAAAAGAAAATCATGAATAGAACCAAATCGCATGTTAGAGTTGTTTTTCAATGATTTCGTGTTTTTACTAGTAAATTGTATGATGAGCTGTTTGAACTTTGCTATGAAAACAATTGAACAAATAAATTTGGCAATCATACAAAAATGTTTGAGACTCTCAATTTTTGTGACCCCCATGGGTCCTAACTGATTGGGGACCGCTCATTGCCCTTTTTTTTCCCCTCTCTCTCACAAACGTGTGGGGGTCATGGGAATCTGTAGTAGGGCTAGCAATAATATTAGTTGAATAACATTTTAAAAAAATAAATTTTCGACAGTAATGGCATTAAGATATATTTGCCAAAAAATATAATTGAGAAATATTAATATATTTTTGGTTGAATGCAGGTGGTGATGGATAATGGAATACTGAAATTGACATTATCAGTACCAGGAGGAGCTATCATCGGAATTCAATATAATGGAATTGACAATTTGCTTGAACTTCATAATCCCCAACTCAATGGAGGGTACCTACATTACCTTCCAACGCGTTCATATTTTCGCCTTTTAAATATTATATGAATAATAATATATAAATAAAAAACTATATATTAAACGATGTGACAGAATAACATAACTGTTATTTAAAAATAAAAATAAACATTAAAAATGTTTTAATATCAAAATTGAACATTGACCCAACATTCTGAAAATGATTATGTATGAAAATTTTGGAAGAATATATCATTTATTGGTAAAACTAAAATTTTAACAAGCAAAGAAAAGAGGCAAATAGAGACCCCCTTGGAGGCTTGGAATGATTTATTTTTGTGGTGGAATTAATGTGCAGGTTCTGGGACCTTAATTGGGCTAAACCAGGAAACATTGGAACAAGAGGCCAATTTGATGTGTAATGACTCTCTCTCTCTCTCTCTCTCTGACTCTTGAAAATTTATTTTTAGAAAAATAAAAAATAAAAATTAATTTAATGAAAAATTTTAAAAAATATTTATCATTTTATATAGTTTTATATTTTAGGAGGGAGGAAATAATTTTTGAAATTTTTAAAATATCTTTTTGATGTCAAACTAATTTTTATTTTTTCAAAAAAAAATTCTAAAAATAGTCTTAGAAATTCAAACCAAACATGGCGTTAATTAATTTTTTTTTTTTCTATAGTGGGTCCAAAATACCATGTTAATAGTATTGCATACTCTACACGAGGTCCACACGTTCCACTAGGATAGTCCGGCCTTAAGTTTGTTTTATCCTAAGCAACCTCTTAAGATAAGTCTCTATATACATATTTATACAGTAAAATAAAATAAAATTTATAAATAATATGGTAAGAACCCACAATACATATTTGCTAATATCTACATAAAATTTACTTGCATATATAATTATTACTATAATTACCTACTAAACATTGCTTATGTAGATTAAAAATAAATCATTAGAAAACTCAAAAAGATAAAATTAGGACTATCTTGTTTTATAATTTAGCAAACTCTAAAATAATAATAATAAAAAAATCTAAAGGTGTAATACCAAAATAAAATCATTATAACAACTTAAAAAGATAAAATTTAATATTTGTCACAGTATGATTACTCTAGTTTACAACAAGAAAACAATATCAAAGGAAATCTAAAATTTAAATTACCAAGAAAATTAAATCAATTGCAATAGAATATCATTTAAACATTACTCTTTTACCGTTTTTAGCTGAAAAATTAATAATCAAACTTAACAAAAAAATAGTTTTGTTTTTAGACTTAAAAAAGGGGATTAGACTTAGGTGGGGTGCCATTTTTTAATTAAAATTTGTGCCCAAGTGGTAGCTTAGTTAGGATGGACATTCATCGGTCAGATCAGATTTGATTGGGCCAGCTAAAACAATTTTCTCAACTCCTACTAGATTGGGCCAGCTAGCCTTACTCTAAGATGAATGCAATGTTTTTTTTTATATATTATTTTTAGATTTGATTCATATAAAATATTATAATAAAATTCAATGAATTATAATTATAGTAATGAAAATCAATTAATATACAAAGAATGAGACTTACAAGTAGGTGGGGAGACCAATACTAACCCCATTTGGTTGAATGCAATGTTAATATAATGCATTATGAACATTTATTTTTTACCTATTTTTTTTTTTTAAAAAAAAAAACAGATATAATTAAATTATAGAGTTAATATGATATTTTCCATTAATAATCCAACGCAAAGATCAACGAATGTGCAGACTTAATGGAACAAGCTTCGAGGTGATAATGGAAAATAAAGAACAAGTGGAGCTCTCATTCAAAAGGCCATGGGACACCTCTCTTCAGGGTAACCACTCCCCCTTAAACATTGACAAAAGGTCCTCCCTCTCTCTCTCTCTCTCTCTCTCTCTCTCTCTCTCTCATGTTTTTTTTTATTAATCCTCTTTTGCTAATATTATTTACTTACTACTTTATAATATTAATTGAGTATGATGTGATTTTTGAATATATTTTAGACTTTTGATATCATTGTTTATTGATAATTAACACTATTTTATATTTGACTATATTATTGATTTTAATATGTATTTTGATACTATTAAATAAAATTATATAATTATAACAATGACGATGACGATGACGATAACAATAACGGTGATGTGACAATGTTTGTTGATAGGTTTATAATGCTTCGTGGTTGCTCTGGTTTCTATTCATATGCCATTTATGAACACTTGGAGGACATGCCTGCTTTCATCCTCTACGAAACCAGGATTGCTTTTATGCTCAAAATTGACAAGTATTTATTTTCATAACCTTCATTTTCTTCATCTTTTTCCTCCTTATTATTTGTGAGATTAATTACATTGTCCATGTTTGATAACAGAGATTTAACTTCTTCTTTTTTTGTTATAAAAAAAAAAAGTAGAAATATTACATATTTAAAAACAGTAACAGAGTCACGAAATTAAGTTAGAGGGAACGTTTATTAATTACAATTTAAAAAAAAATTATGATCAACATTAGTATAACAATAATTTTATGAGCTAAGTTTAAGTGTAAAAAAATCAAACATTCATTATTAATTGCAACAAATCAAAATTCTATAATAGCGTGAAATAATTCGGTGCAAAATGGTGATGTAAGTTTGCAATTTTAACATAAAAAATTATGGATCAAAATTTCTAATTTTAAAAAATAAAAATACATCATTTATAGCACAAATTATTATAAAATCTTTTTAATTTTTATTCGCCGGAAAAATATTAGAGAAATGATATTACTTATAAATGATGTGTTCTGAATGAAAATTATTAAACATTCTTAGAATACCATATGGCGTTGCCTACTTGATACTCACAGCATGAAAAACCACAACTCACACACTAAGTAAGTCTTCCATTGTCTCATAACTACCTGAAAATGATGAGTTTATTATATCAAATCCATAAGATTTCTCGCTACACTATTGGTTTAGACTATTACATAGACAATATCACATAGTCAGTGGCGGAGTCAAGAAATTAAATCAGATTGAGCACTTATTAATTACAACATTCAAAATTTTTACAAAAATATTTTACATAAATTTTTATGATTAATTTCAAGAAAGATAATAATAATAATAATAATTGTAACTATTGTATCATGAACAATATAAAAAATAAAAAAGTCATGGATATAAGTTTTAAAATAAATTATATAATGATAAAGTATTTTTTTTTACAAAAATTGAGTAAAAATTCAATATAACGATAATACCACATCATTATTGACATGTGATATCACTAACCAATAATAAATAAACGCATAGAGGATAAACTCCACATGTCAAATGTAATTAACAATCTAATAAATTTCCTATTTTCATTGAGATTAATTATGTATGATAGACTCACCATTATATTAAAATTTTCATATGACTTATCGTAGTCTATTTATTTTCAATCAAAACAACCATTATTGTTTTCATAATTTTAATAATGTCATAGCATTTCACTCTAAATGCTATTTTATAAATTTTTTATTTAAAATATTTTTTTATGTTTGCAAAAACAAAAAAAAACAAAAAAAAAATCCGGGGGGCATGTGACCCCCTGGACCCCCAATGCCTCTGCCCCTGCACATAGTACTCCTAAAATATCAAATAACTATGTGCTATGAGCAATACAAAAAAATCTGTAATTAAAGAGTAATACAATTTGCATATGGAAAGGAAGAAAAGAAAAAAAAAATCAAAACTGAGAGGGATATGTGACCCTCTCTAGGCTTCTTTGGCTCCGTCCCTATCTAAAAATGATTTATAAAAAAATAAAATAAAATTAGAATTTGAATATATAAGATAATATATATATTTTTTAATTTAATATTTAGTGAATATTGTGTAAGACATACTAAAGTAAATTTAATTCATGTATCTCAAATTGTCTGTACTTTTTTGAGTATTTTTTCATTTTGTTTCTAAATACGTGTATGTTAGAAAAATAAAACAATTAATAAAATTGATAGGTTGGATTTGGCATGAAATTGATTTATCATTCCAAAACCAATCAACAAGTTTTCATCTTGTAAGAATGCCTAGCCAGTGTTTTAGGGCATTTCTAATTTTTGACTGAAAAACTTACATATGGACCCGGCTCCTCCCCAATGGAGAGGACTGTTCGGCATTGATGGGTTCTAATTTGGTCTCATGTCGATAATTCAAACCGTTTAATATATAAAATTCGTCGAGTATATTATTTTTACAAAAACTTATATGTTGATTGGATATCATTAACCACTTAATCAGATTACATTATCAAAATAATTTTCAAATATAATTTTTGAAGTAAATTGAAACAGAAATGCGATCAGATCAAGTAATTATCGATATTCAAGTGATTTTTTACAGAGATAATATATTCAACGGGTTCTATACATTGAACGTTTTGAATTATTGACATGAGGCTAGATTAAGGTCCACCAATGCCAAATAGCCCTCTTCAGTAATTGGAGAGGAGCCTGGTCGATATTAAATTAAGAGCAAACTTTACTTTATCCCTTATAATTTGGGTCATATGTAATTTGCCCCTTAACGTTTGAAAATAACTACATAACCCTCTTGTGATTTGTGAATTGAAATGTACCGTTAGGCCCGTTAACAATTTAATGAAAAATACTAAAATATTACTATATTTTCGTCATTTATTTAGAAGGTAAAGTACACTTTAACCAGTATGCTTTATTTCACATGTAATTTATCCCATTGAAATTTAAAAATGAACATATAACCCCCTTATATCTGTCACATGTTTCACACTTGCTGTTAAGTTGGACGAAATTTTAACAATGCACTTTAGTCTACAAACCACATAAGGATTATGTGGTCATTTCTAAATATTAAGGAGTAAACCACACATGGCTCAAATCACATATCACATAGGATAAAATGAAATTTGCCCTTAAATTTAAGTTTGTGTAAAAATTAATGAAAAATTCTCGAAGTCTTTGATTCAAATTCATATCAAATTAAGTTTTATTATTAAAAAAAAAAAATTTAATCAAGACAGACTCAAATGTCGTTAATTAAAATTTGCAAAATCATTTTGTAGCTTTCAAATTTACAATTATGTTATTATTAAAGTTTTTATTCAAATTTATATTTAAATTTGTGCATTAAAGTGCTTTCTATCAAATAAATTTTTTACGCAAATTTTAAGGGTTGGAGATAATTTGGTATGCATCACTTTATTAGGTGAGACTCATTTTTAATCTATACTTCAACTTGACATCAAATAATACTCCAAATATGTGACAACCCAAACATTACCCATAAAATATTTCAAAGACTTGAGTCTTTATTTCAGATTATAAAGTAAGCTATAATTGTTCAGCGAAAAATTTAATAAAGAACAATAACTAAGATGATTATATTCTCTTACTTATTATGTTATGTATTAATATCGTACTATATTGATAACAAATATGAATGATGAGACTTATTATATCAATACTGCGTTGAAACATAATGTGATAAACACAATATAAAAGAAAAAAAAAAAAAAAAAAAGAACATGATTATTCTAACATTATTGAATAAAGAAATTGATTAATAAAAAAAATCAAAGGTTATACATGCAAATAATTACTACTTCATATGTGAATAGTAAAATGCACAGCAAACAATAATTTTTTATCTTTTATTTTTATTTTTTGGTTGTATATATTATGAGCTTGTAGGTTTAGGTACATGGCTATAGCAGATGACAAGCAAAGGTACATGCCCTTGCCGGATGACCGGTTACCTGGCAGAGGTGAAGAACTGGCCTACCCAGAAGCAGTCCTTCTTGTTAATCCTGTGGAGCCTCAATTTAAAGGAGAGGTACTTCCATTCAATTCAATCTCTAATTTTTTTTTTTTCACTGATTATATTTTTTAAAAAAACATTACAAAAATATATCAAATTTAAAATATGCGAAACAAATTCATTTTAGATATATGACTTTCATCGCATCATATTTAAATCTACACCGTAAATTCAAATATTTTGAACTCTTTCAATATTTTTTTTAGTACATAGCATTTTACCTTCGAGAATGATATGCTTTTGCTTGCAAATCATATATATTTTAGTGACTAGCTATGTATTTTAGAGTCTAGCTTCTCTTGAGTTCAACAAGATTGGAACATCTGGTTTGGGTCATGTGAGCTTGTCACAAGGTATATTTTGATGATTTTATCTGTTTACTTTTTGGGCCTTTGTATGGATTATCGATGGAAAAAAATTAGACCAATTTAATAATCATAGTTATATAATTTTATCATATTTATTTTTTAACAATCTATTTTTAAAATCATTAATGTCACCCCCTTTATTTGAAGAGAAAATGTGATGAAATTGAATGGCTACAATTATCAAATATGCCGTGTTTATATGAATGATTATAAATAAGGATTAGAAAATGAACATAGCAAATCATCAAAATGGACCTTGTGATCAACACACGACTCATTATTTTCTCTCAACTAAAGAGAAGTTAGATTCTATATTTTTACTATTTCATGTCATTGTATCCACGTAACAATTCTTCCCCATCATGTGATTAATTCCCAAAAAATGTTATTCTTTTAAAATTTTTATACATGGTGATATTTCTGTAACTAAAAAATATCTTGATGAATTCTTTACTTTGTTAGATCTTCAAATTCTGTCACATGATTCTGTACAAATTTTTTGTATGTATTTTTTCTTTTTCATATATACAAACATTACTCTTAATTCTTTCATTGATCTTCCTATATATATAGGTGGATGACAAGTATGAATATTCAATTGAGAACAAAGATAACGGGGTTCATGGGTGGATATGCTTTGATCCACCAGTTGGGTTTTGGCAAATCTGTCCCAGCAATGAGTTCAGAACTGGGAGTCCAACCAAACAGGACCTAACCTCTCATGTCAATCCAACTACTCTTGCTGTATGTGACTATTTCCCTCACTGATTGATATTTCCTATAGTAAATTTCAATAACGTCCTTAATGCCCTCTCTTCATTTCAATAAAAGGGAATTACAATGCAGTAGGACATAAAAATAAATAAATAAATAAATAAAGTATAAAAGTATGTGGAGGTGCAAGTCATTATGTGGTGAGATACAAGTGAGAAGATGCAAGCGTCACTTGCGCCCCTCTATATTTTTTTGTAATTTTTGTTTTTAATTCCACTGGGATGTAGTTTCCCTTTCAATTATCTATATATATGAACTGTTTAATTAAGTGAAATTATATTGATCAAATTTTACGCTATTAATAGATGTTTGTAAGTGCCCATTATGGAGGAGAGGAATTGTCACCCCAATTTGGATCTGGGGAACCATGGAAGAAAGTTTTCGGACCAGTTTTTATATATCTTAATTCTGTCTCTGATGAAAAGAATGCCCTTTCACTTTGGGACAATGCCAAAGAACAGGTATGACATTAAACTAAATAAATAATTAATTAAAAAATGTATATGTAGGCTAGGTTAGGAAAATTTTTTAAAACATGTACTTTGGCTTTATAAAAATAAAAAATAAAAATGCAAACAAACAAACTTTGTGAAGAGTTCTAGCCAAAAAAAGGTTGATGTGTTTGACAACTATAAGTTAAAACTAAATAAATAAGTAAATAAAAAAAGAAATGTTTCAATGATTAAGAGTAATTTTAGCTGATTGTTATAATGGTTTGCTATTATCAAATTGGGCAATGCTGGGGACCCCCAGTGGGGGCGACCCCCAACACTCCAGTGACAGTTGGTACACTGTCAATGGCTCAAAAAAAAATAAAATAAAATAAAATTTGGGCCAATCAAGGATGACCCCAACACACCCACTGCGGGTCCAACTCATTTTCCTATCAAATTATAACAGTAGCTCTACTCTAATTTTTTTTCTTCCAGGGATTTGCCAAAACAGTTGTCAAAAAATGATATTGTGAAATTCTATGCCAAATTTGGCTCAAAATTTGGTAATGTCATTTGTGCCAATTTATGAGTATGGCTTTGACAAATATATTGCACTCATATCGGGTACTTACCGCCGTATAGTATTTTGTATAGTGCTTTTACATACTTACCGGATACACGAAACATATACCCAAATTGCTTTTATTAATTTTTGGCATTTCAAGATGTACCTAGTATATACCCAAGCCGTATCATATCTCAATCGTAACAATATTTTTTTTCTACTACAAGGATAAAATTTCTTTTACTAGATTTCTTTTTTATTCTTAGTTTTATATACTTAGCATGATTTTAAAATTAAGCTATAGTTTGTAAGTTATTTAATATAATAACATTTAATTTTGGTTTATACCTTTATTTTTGACATTAAATGTTAATTGTAGGTTGGATCTTAATAAATTAAATCATTTAATCAATTTTTGCATTGCTCTAAACTAATAATAAATATTTTTTTATATACGTATCAAGCTGTACCCGTACTTTACTTTTTTTTAATTTTACTGTATCGACATACCTATATCATATTAGTATTAGTACTTGTACCCGTACCCGTACCCGTACCCGTACCCGTACTTCATAGGTGCAACTCAACTCATCTAAAAGAGAGTTTTGATCTGGATAGGAGACATACAACAACATAAATAAGCAATGGACTGAAAATATCAAAATGATATTTACTATTTTTTTTTTTTAATGAAAAGCAATTTCTTACATACTTATTGAAAATGAAACATTATATGACTCGTTTTTTTTAATGGAAAGCACTTTCCTACATATTGATGTTCAGATGAAGGTTGAAATCCAAAGCTGGCCATACAATTTCCCAAATTCAACGGACTTTCCAAAGTCTGATCAAAGGGGTACTGTCACTGGTAGATTTCTTGTCCACGATAGGTATGAACTCATATGTCTTTTTCAGTTTCAAATTAAACTCGAAGTTGTATTAAAACCAAACCATAAATTGAGATAAATGAATAAATCAACTTGGCCACAATTTTAGCACTCAAAGATTCTTGAGCAAGCTTTTAAATAGTATCCGAATAAATCAATATCGGTTTTGGGGTTGTTAACACAATATATGTAATTATTATTATTATTATTATTTTGTTCAAACTCAACTAACTAACATAAACAACTATCTATGAACTTATTTCTTGTCTCACCACCCATGGCACTAATAGTTTACTCAGTAGTTAGAAACAGTTATTTGATCAAGTGTAGGGGTAATTTAGGTAAATAAAAATGCTACGTAATTTCACCCACACTAAATAAGGTGTTATGAATCAATTATGAGCCAATATATATTACTAAATAAGGTATTATGAATCAATTATGAGCCAATATATATTGCGAACCAGTAATACATAAGGGGTATCCATTTCCATGAATATTAAGATTTTTTTGAAAAAAAAAAAAAAAAACACATAATCTTATCAACCAATTACATGATATATTAGTTGATATTTAAAATCTTGCTCAAGAGTTTCATTTCCAACTTATACTGCTTAGGTGATCAAATTTGTGTAATTGGATTTTGATTAGGTATGCTAGTGAACAACCTCTACCCACCAACGGTGCATATGTGGGGTTGGCTCTAGAGGGAGAAGCTGGATCATGGCAAAGAGAAAGTAAGGTGATATTGGTTAACTTTGCTCCAAAATCAAAATAGGGGCACCACTATTTTCTTGCTTATTGTATCTCATATAACAAATACGGAATTTTCTTTCTCAAATTTCAGTCCTTCTAGGTCAAAAGACAAACAATTATTATGTCATGTCACTTTGTAACTTAAGGCATGTTTGATTCACAACACTAATAGTGAGGTATTAATAATCCTATTACATTAGTGTGGTATTAGTTATCCCACCCCTAACCCATTACTAATAATCCTACAAATTTGTTGGATTAATTATCCATTGGATTAATAATCCTAAACCAAAATGTCAAAACAAACATAAGATCATTGGGCCCACGGATTAATAATTCCAATCCTATGCTTTAATCCTTTCAATCAAACATACCCTGGCCATGTTTGATTCACAACACTAATAGTGAGGTATTAATAATCCTATCAAATTAGTGTGGTATTAACTATCCCACCCCTACCCCATTACTAATAATCCTACAAATTTGTTGGATTAATTATCTATTGGATTAATAATCCTAAACCAAAATGTCAAAACAAACATAGGATGATTAGGCCCACGGATTAATAATCTCAATCCCATGCTTTAATCTTTCCAATCAAACATTATGTAAGATTCTTATATGATATAATAACCATGAATGTTTTAAGACACAAAAAGATATTTAAGAATAGATAATCCTTGACCACCCACACCCTGTCAATTCATTATCTTACATGAAATTTGTCAGGGCTATCAATTTTGGACTACAACAGATGAAGAAGGCTATTTTTGCATTAAGAATATACGTGCAGGCGACTATAATCTTTATGGATGGGTACCTGGTTTTATTGGAGATTATCGTCTTGATGCTTCCGTCATCATAACCCCAGGTTTTCTATTATACGTTCAAATTTTATGCATAAATATTATATTTATGAGAAAAAAATTACAAAAAAAAATTAATATAGTGTTTATGGCATTGTATTCATCCTAATTTCCTGACTAGATTCATCCATCTACTACAAATACACACAAAATTCACCTAAAAATTGCACAAAACACTGTCTTGGTAGCATCCCTACGGTGTATCTGTGCATTTTTCTCAAAAGGAAAAAAAGAAAAGAAAGCGAGAGAGATTATACTTGTAGTCCTATAGTTTGTCTCCGGTAATTCTAATTACATCAATTTAATTACAGTCGAATTTTTCACATTAGATAAATTTAGTGCAATTGATAATGCCCTATAAAAATTGGACTGAAATCAATAGGTAAAATAGTTCATTCACTCTCCTCAAATTGATTGAGGTGTCAACGTTCAATTTGAAATGGTACGTTTATTTTCAAAAACATACCATTTTACTATTGATTTTTGTTCAATATTTTAACATATGTTACCAATTTGACTAAATTAACCAAATATAAAAATTAAAGAACAAATCAATACAATTAGAATTACAATAACCAAATTTATACCTAACACAAATGACATGAAGCACGAGTATAGTTCATCCCAAAAATAAGTGTCAGTATTGTTTTTGATTTTATGAATTTCAAAATTTCAATTATGATACTCTATATAATATTGTTATTTAAATTGTACCTACAAACAGGATGTGAAATGGATATGGGTGATCAAGTATATGAGCCTCCAAGAGATGGACCAACACTATGGGAATAAGGCATTCCTGACGTTCTGCCTGAAGAATTCTATATTCCTGAACCTAATCCTAAATACATAAACAAACTTTATGTTAATCATCCGGACAGGTTAGCTATGCCCTTTTTATTTGGGATTGAGTTTCTCTCAAATTTAAATCTGAACTTGAGAGAACTTGAGGGGTCCTATAGATACCACAACGGGTTCCATTTCGATAATCCGAACTGCTCATAATGCAGGATTGTCAGTGTATATCATTCATAAAAAAAATTAATTCGATCTGATAATCGTAACCTTTTTTATTTTATCATGTCTGTCTTTGAAAAAAAAAATAGATGATAAGTATGTTTTTTAAAATAAAATCATTTTTTTTTTTTTAGAGATGACATATACGGAAAGTCCTACAAAATGAACGTTTTAAATCATCGAAACGGAACTTCTGATGTGACCCACAAGCTCTCATATTCTCCCAAGTTCATATTTAAATTTAGAGCAAAATTCACTTTATTCTTTTGCGGTTTGGTCTCGAAGCACTTTAACCCCTTATAATTCAAATACAGATAGAGAACCTTTTTATAATTTTAAACTAAAGTGTAAAGTTAACTCTGTTAAAGTAAGAGAAAAGTTACCAAAATTCCCGTGTTATATTCTCTCTCTCTTCTCTAATACATATAATTTTCTATCTTAATCACATATTAAACAAATTAAATCATGAATTAAATAAAACACCCTAATTTATTATCATAAAATTACAACTATTTTTTATTTTTAAACCAATTTTTTATTTAATAACTTTTTTAATTAAACATAACATTATTATAAATTAACCTAAACACCTTAATTTATTAACCATAAAATTAAATCATAAAATTACCTTAATCTAAGTTTTAGTTTTTAATTTTTAATCTAATTTATTATTTAATAATATTTTAAAATAAACATATATATAACAAATTAAATCATAAATTAAGCTAAACACCCTAATGTGTTATCATAAAATTACATGATTTAATCACATTTTAAATTAAACATATACGTATATATATATATTTAACAAATTAAATCATAAATTAACCTAAATACCTCAATTTATTAACATATAATTTAATCATAAAATTACCTTAATTTAATTTTTACTTTTTAACCTGTTTTATTATTTAATAACATTTAAATTAAATATTTGCATAGATATACATATATATATATATATGTATAATAAATTAAACCATAAATTAAACTAAATGCCTTAATTTATTACCGTAAAATTATCGTAATCTACTTATTAATTTTTAACCAAATTTCTCATTTAATAACATTTCAAATTAAATTAAATTATTGATGGAAGATGACAATTAGCATTAAGATTTAATTTGGAGAATAAAATGAATATGAGGGTATTTTTGACATTTGATTCAATTTTTTACTTTGATTTAGAACTTTTGGATTGTCCACTCTCACATTGGAAGAGTATGGCACACCTTCCGTTATCTTTAACAGAAAAATTAATTGTAACACTTTAATCCAAAATCATAAGGGAGTTCTCTGCCTATATTTAAACTATAAGAGGGTAAAGTACTCCAAGACTAAATCACAAAGAGGCAACGTAAATTTTACCCTTAAATTTAAGAGAAGTCCAAACCATTTTATTTACTAACCATTTATCATTTGATTTGGGTAACCAAAAGCCAAATTAATTACACCAAAAATTGTACTAATATTTTAGACTTCAAATAAATAAATAAATATTATATATCATTTTCCTTAACAAATTACTCAATTTAAAACTTGTTCTACATGCAGATATAGGCAGTATGGACTGTGGGAAAGATATGCAGATTTATATCCTGATGGTGACTTAGTTTACATAGTTGGCGTTAGTGATTATCGTAAAGATTGGTTCTTTGCTCAGGTTAATAGGTACAAAATTTTCTAAAATTAATCTGGTTTATCTTAATTAAGTGAATGTTTATGATTGGCTTCTTTCATGGCTTTTCTGTTGCATTTTTTCATTTTTAATAAAAAAAAAAATTAAAAACTTTTGCACTGTTGAGTTCTACTCGATTAGATGGATTAGAAAAATTAAGAAATTTTTAAACAATTGAAAAGTAGTCTAGAAAGAACATAAAAAATAATAATAATAATAATGATAAAGCTATAAAAAAAATTGATTTTTGAATTTTTTTTGTCTATAGTGAAATTTTTATAAAAAATTTCAATGTTTTTTACCTTTTAAATTCGCTTACACAAGAAAGACTTGAAAAGTAAATTTAATATAATTTTGAAAAAGGATCACTAAAGACAAATGAAAAATCTAAGTCCCATGATCTTGTGATTATTGATTTTAGAATTTCAAAACAACCATGATCAACTATTAAAAAGAAGATAAAGAGCAGCCAAAACACAAAGATTTTTGTGTAGAAAAATCACAGTTAAAATCTACCAACATGTGATAAAAAACCATGAGACCCTAGCCACAAAGATAATCCACTATGAAAAAAAAGTAATACAAAAGATTTTTTACAAAAACCAATCCAGGCATACTAGTTTGCTCGAGACCTACAAGTAGCTCAACCTCTATCCTTCATCTTGTGGATATCCGCTTCCACTATTGAATCCACAATAACGGTATCGAGTCCACCACAAGCATGCTCTAGACTCCATCAGAGTTTACACCTCAAGAATACTCATAAACTGTTTAGATGTTTGTTACAGGCTTGATGATTTCATGAAAGATCTAAAGATGTGATTGGGTCATCAAGTAAACATGAGATAAGTATACGAAGTAACCTCACTATAGCACTCTCTCAAACTTCAGAATGGCAGAGATAAATGACAAAACAGAACAAGCTCAATATATATAGAAAATTCACCATCGCGGGTGATATAGGTGGGCCTATAGGAGTGTTTGGTCTATCATTTAGAGCCCAATACATAATTCAAACACCAAAGCCCAATAATGCTGGAACCCAACGTCACATTAAGAACCAATGACATCCAGACAGCTGTCAAGAGTAGAACCAGCCACATCGGCAGACAAAGATCCTGTAAAATTATTGCACCACATATCAACCATTAATGAGGTTCCCTACAACATTTATTGTGATAATCCCTCTCCGTCGGAACAGAATGGCCTCACCATGAACAAGGTAAGCTAGAACATAGACTTTCGGCTAACGTGGCAGGTTGGAAGGGACAAGGAATTGATTAGTAGAGGATATAAGCGGGCTTCGAAGACAAGGAAAAAGGTTAAGCTTCTCCATCACCAATCTATCTCTACGTACCATCTCTCTCTTTCTAACTTGCTCGTCGGAGGGTTCGCTGTGGGGACTCCCCGTTCCCCATTAAACTCTTGTACAGGTCTCTCCGTAGGCTCGGCGTCTCGGGCACCAGTTCGGGAAGCGTGGATCAAACTGTAACATCAGTTGGCGCCGTCTGTTGGAAACCTTTCGCTCTATGCACCAGTTGTGCTCATTGTCGCCGGAGACCCCTTTCCGATAACCCCTACCTACCACCCACCAAGGTGGATGGTCACAACTAGATCCACAGCTTCTCACCACAATGTTGCCGACCACCAAGCCGACCCACCTAACCCAAACAACCCACCACAGTATTTCACAGAACTCACCAACAGCATCAACCGCTTAGCCGAGCAAAACCAAGCCCTGATCAATGCTTTGTTTCAAAGAGACCTTCCCATCCCTCCTTCTCTACCTCAAGATATCCCATCCAATCAAGAACGAGTCCCGAGCCATCCTATCCAATAACCCCACCCATCCAACTTGGAAGGCATGCGACCCCCTCCCCCAGATATGAACCCGCCGCCTCGGGTACCACATCCATCGGTCCAGGCACCCACCCCCGAGGGAGAGGCCAGTAGTGTCCAGCCTCCACTGCATTCTGGTGGTGACAACATTCCTCTCTGGGATGCAGAACTCCGAGCCATGAAACTCCAGCTTCAAGAAGTCATGCAAAACATATAAAATAAACCATCTACCACAGCCAACTCACCGTTCGTTGCCTCCATTAGGGACAAACCCTTACCTCCTAAGTTCAAAATGCCCTCCATCGACTCTTTCGAAAGCAAAACGGACCCGGTCGACCATTTGAAAACTTACAGGACCCTTATGGTCCTCCATGCATTCCCTGACGAAATTATGTGTCGGGCTTTCCCCGTGACCCTTAAGGGGTCGACTCGACTCTAGTTTGGTCAACTGCCAGCAGACTCTATCCCTACTTTCTAGCCCCTAAGTGACTCCTTTCTCAGCCATTTCATTGGTGCCCAGCGCCAGCGACATCCGGAATCCCAACTCCTCAACATCTATCAGACCGAGGAGGAGTCACTGCGCAGCTTCATCACCCGCTTCAACATCGAAGCTCTGCAGGTAGCGAAAAACGATGACAAGGTCATTCACCCGGCTTTCATGGCCGGTCTACGATCATCTGATTTTCTTTTTTCTCTCTCCAAAAACCCCCCGACCTCCATAGCCACCCTACTTTCCAAAGCCCAAAAATACATGAATGCCGAAGATTTCCTAGCCGCCCGACAAGACCCTACAGCCAAAAACCCGACCCGTAGAGAGAAGAAAAAAGACTCTAAAACCAGAAACACCCAGTACACTCACCAAACACCTCAGTATACCGACCGACCTGCCCGAACCGACCGGTCGGCACCTACCCGACCGCCCGGCCGATTCGAACGATACACACCCCTCAATTCCTCCATGGAACAAGTCCTGAACCAGATCCAACGAGATTATCCCCTAAAATGGCCCCAACCAACGAGACCAGTCCAAATACTGCCGTTTTCATCAGGACCACGGCCATAATACCGAGGAGTGTGTTAACCTCAAAGACAAGGTCGAGGGCTTGATACGTCAGGGACGCCTTAGTTGGTTCACAGCAGCCCGCCCTCAGCAAAGGCAAAGGACTGAACCTACCATAAACAACTATTGGTGCACCCCTCATCGACAACTCGCACAACTTCACCAAGGTCATGATAGGCCTCCACAGCAACCCCGGGCACAAGGCAACCCTGCCCCCTCGATTGGAGAGATCAGAGTTATTACTGACGGGATTGCTTGTAGAGGACCATCCCGCTCGGCTTAACGGGCAGAACTCAGAAAAATAAGACAGGGCTCAGATAAAGAAGTTGCCATATTGGACCGCCATTTCAAACACCCCAAGCAGTGGATGGAGCCCATCACCTTTACGGAGGCCGACTGCACAGGCATCCATTACCCCCATGACGACCCCCTCATCATCTCTGCCTTCCTCTCCAATTACAAAGTTAGACGGGTTCTCGTTGACAACGGTAGCTCTTCAGACATTATCTTCCTAAACGCCTATCGCCAGCTCAAGGTCAGGGAAGAAAGTTTGTCCCTCTCCAAACCCCACTGGTTGGCTTCACTAGAGACCGGGTGACCTCCATAGGCTCCATCGATCTTCTCATCACCATTGGAGAATACCCACGGCAGTCCACAAAGTTGCTCACTTTCCTCGTCGTCGACTGTTCCTCTGCTTATAACATTATCCTCGGCCGCACCGCCCTAAATGCTTTTCAAGCTGCCACATCCACTTTCCACCTAGCCGTAAAATTCCCTACCGACCTTGGGGTCGGCACTATGAGAGGAGAACAGACCGTAGCCAGAGAATGTTACGTCGCTTCACTTAAAGAGGTCAAGCTGAAGGAGGCTATGATCATTGAAGGACTCGATGTCAGAGATGAAGACGAGCTGGTCAAAGGGGAACCCATGGAAGTGCTTGTTGAGGTCCTCATCGACCCTACAAACCCGATAAAAACTGCCAAGATCGGCAGCCAACTATCTTCCCAAGCCAAGGCCGACCTTACGACCCTCCTGATTGAGCACAATGACGTGTTTACCTGAACCCACTCCGACATGCCGGGTATTGACCCCTCATTCATCACTCATTGTCTCAGCATTGAGCCCCATTTTCGACCCTTCCGCCAAAAGCAGCACATCTTTCACCCGGAACACAATACTCTTATTGCTTCTAAAGTAAATAAGCTCCTCGAGGCACAGTTTATCAAAAACGTTGACTACCCCAGATGGCTGTCAAATGTGGTCCTAGTCCGTAAAAACAATGGTAAATGGTGACTCTGTGTCGATTACTCCGACCTCAACCGAGCTTGCCCCAAAGATAGCTATCCCCTTCCCCGCATAAATCTACTTGTCGATGCCATGGTCGGGTATCAAATGCTCAGCTTCATGGATGTTTTCTTTAGCTATAATCAAATTCTGATGCACCCATCGGACCAGGAACACACCTCCTTCATAACCAATCGAGGGACTTACCACTATCGTGTCATGCCATTCGGGCTAAAAAACGCCGGAGCAACTTACCAACGGTTAGTCAATGCCGTTTTTCATCACCAGATAGGTCGGAACATGGAAGTATACGTTGACGACATGCTTGTGAAGAGCAAACTTTCCTCTGATCATCTGGCAGACCTGCGGGAGACCTTCGACACTCTGCGTAAGTCTCAAATGAAGCTGAATCCGGAGAAATGTGCCTTCGGCGTTGGCGCTCTGGGAAATTCTTGGGTTTCATGGTCAGTCAACGGGGTATCGAGGCTAACCCCGAAAAGATCAAGGCTCTGATAAAGATGTAGTCACCCAAAATAGTCAGAGAAGTTCGAAGGCTTACGGGCAGAGTCGCCGCCCTCAACCGTTTCATTTCCCGTGCAATAGACAAGTGCCTTCCCTTTTTCAAAGTCCTTCGGCAGGCTTTTGAGTGGACGGCAGAATCCGAAGAAGGCTTTCAGCAATTGAAGTAGTGTATAGCCAACCCCTCCTACTTTCTCAGGCGATCATGGGTGAGCCTATTTTTCTCTACTTAGCTGTATCGAACACCGCAGTCAGTGCAGCCCTCATCAGGGAGGATAGCTCTATCCAGCGTCCGATCTACTACATTAGCCGGGCCCTCAGGAAAGCAGAACAGAATTACCTACTATTTCAAA